GATAGGACTAGAGGAAATGGCTTCAAACTGAAGCATCGGAAGTTCCACAGGAACTTAAGGAAGCATTTCTTCACTGTGCGGGTGACAAAGCACTGGAACAGGCTGCCCAGAGAGGTTGTGGAGTCTCCTTCTTTGGAGATCTTTAAAACCTGCTTGGATGCAGCCCTGTGCCACGTGCTCTAGGTGACCCTGCGTGAGCAGGGGGGTTGGACTCGATGACCTCTGAGGTCCCTTCCAATCTTCGACATTCTATGATTCTATGACACCCAACTATCCTTTGAACTTTTGAGGTTACAACTATAAAATACTTAAGCAGGAAGATGAGTAAGTGCTTCAGGAAGACAGAGCTATCAGTATAAAACAAAGGACTACTCTGTGGTGCAGGAACTCCCCAAAATCTCTGAGGCAACTGTTTGGCCACTTATCTTTCACATTTTGCATGTGTCATTTTTGCAGCATCTTTTTAAAAGGCCACCCTTCCTGTTGCTTCAGGTTTTTGACTGGTTACAGTAAATTGGAGAAGCAGTTGAAGTATGTATTCTTAGCCACAGAATGCACTGCCTAGCGTTCAAGAATGCGAAGAAAAGATGGGAAGGAGACTGAAGATCAATATCTCTGCCCAGAACTGATATGGAACAAACAGACTGATTTTTCTAATGCTTCATTAAAGTGAATGTTTTCTCTCACATGTCCACAGAAATCAAAGAGCTGGAAAACAATATTAGGAAAGCGTTATCATTTGACAATCGAGGAGAGGAACACAGGGCAGCAGCTACAGCATCAACAGACAACCAGCTTAAATCTGGGGAGAATGGTGAAAATGGGGAGCTCAAACAAGCCCAGACCAAGCGAATAGGCCTTGAAGAGTTCAACTTCATCAAAGTATTAGGGAAAGGCAGCTTTGGCAAGGTGGGTAGCTTTTTCTGCCTGATGCATGGGTTATTTTTGACTGTACTGCTTTAAAACTATTTGTACTGCTACTGAGTAAGTGCTTCCACCTCATTCTTTATCGTCTAGGTAAAAACAGGTTTTATAGTGAGTATTGGGAGTATCACCCTGATGATCAATGGAGTTTTCTGCTCTTTAGGTCACTACAGTAACAAGGCTCAAGCATTTTGAAATGAGATGCCAATATTTCTGTGTTTCAGAGTTTTGATAATGAAGTAAAGAATATCCATACCCTTAAAAAAAGCACATAGTGAAGCAGGAAAAAAGAGCATAAGAGCCTTTTTGCTCCTTGGATAATATTCAGTTTCAGTTTACTCACTAGCTTCACCGAACAGTTTATATGTGTGTGTTTTTCCTCGGTGGGTGTGCTCAGTTCTGCAGGAAGCAAAACTTGAGCATTTCCACTCAGGTCTGACAAGCAGAAGAAGCTTAAAGAAATGCTGAAAACGCCATGTATCCTGTAAAGATGTAATTTGCCAAATGCCTTCCCACAATAGGGAATTGATGACGGTAGAACACAGTATAAAACGTCAACCTTAAATAACAGCATTTTAAATCAGTAACTTTGAAACTACTAGAGTTGTGTGTGATTGTATGTCATTATGTTCATCTCACACAAAAGTCTTCCTACCAAAAATGGGAATTAAAGTGAGAAACAGATTAATGTTTATACCAACTTAATTAGCTTTTGAGATTAATAGACTTTAATTTTTTATCCCTTTATTAAAATATAATCCTCTGCGTTCTTAACCTGTATCAATTTTATCTGTTCTCTAAGATCTACTACTAGAGCTATCTTTTCTAAAATTATATTACCGTAATGATATAAAACATGCAGTTTTCTCCAGACGTATATATAGTTATCATTCCACTGCTATTTTTTGATCTCTGTATTTCCAGTGTATTAAAAACATATGGAACCCTGCATTTATGATGTTACACATACATAAACAGAAATTCTGTTTGTTTTAGGTCATGTTAGCAGAGCTAAAAGGTAAAGATGAAGTGTATGCAGTGAAAGTCTTGAAGAAAGATGTTATTCTTCAGGATGATGATGTAGATTGTACGATGACAGAAAAGAGGATTCTGGCATTAGCACGGAAACATCCATACCTAACACAACTCTACTGCTGCTTCCAAACAAAGGTAAGCTACATAAATGTTTTCCCAATCTGCACCCAAAGAACAAAGTTACCTATTTCCATGAAAAAGGACAACAGCACAGAATATACAACAGTATTTCTGAAACATTTCTTAGATGATCCYGACAGTTCAGCGTTTCGGTAGGATTGAATAGGAGTGCTGGCTGTTGTCAGAAACAGCATAAATACTATTACCTTGTAAGTGCCAGGAGATGGCAGTAAATGAGCTTAAACAAACAAAACAACAACAAAGTATAAGAGAAAAAGCTACTGAGGTGCCATTTTCTGGCTTGGTGGTGTACACTAATAGGGTCTATCACTTGTTGAACTAGACATAAATATTAACATCTGCTATTCGGAGTAAAGATCACAAAAYGATCACAGAAATGGTGGTATTAATTCTGTCGGAAAGAAGATTATGAAAGAACACTCATCTTGCCAAGTTTCTTGTGCTATGGTAGCGTATAAAACATTCAGAAGGGAAAAGAAACAAGTTGCTTTTCAAATACGTTCCTATAATGGTAACGATCTGCATGTGCTTTTGAACAGCAGTGAAAGAACAGAAAGAGTTGGGAAGAATCTCTTGCCACGGTATGATTCTTATTGGGTATCTTTCATGTAGCATATACACCTTTGTAGCACATGTTTTGGATTTGCTGCTAAAATGAGAAGAAAGGTTTGGATGGTGCAGCTGACTGTCTGGCCTTTCTGAACCTAATCAGTCTAGGTGCTTGAGATCAGTTGTGCTCAGAAACTCTCTCTGATGTTTTTAGCCCTTTATTTCTCTCTTGTCTTCCTGAAAAACTGACAGTTTTTTATCTGATATTTAGAAGTCACCTCATTGTCCAGGAAAAGAAAAACAATCACAATAATGAATCTGTCTGGCAGATAAAATACCAATTCTATACTATTGAATTTACTGAAGCCTCCTTTTTCTTTGAAGTGCCTGATAAAATATTTACTATTTCAAAGCACTTTGACTTCAGCTTTAGCCTGTTGCATGCACATGTATAGAGATATGTAAATATCTCTATATTGCTAATTAGTCACACAGTATAATCAGAATGTGTATGGCACAAATGAGCAGTTGCTCATATATTGAAATACGTATCATTACAAAAATCTGTAACTTGATATGAAATATCAAATTTGTTAGCTTTCTATATGCTTTGATTGACAAAAATGGCCCATGAAGTTATATATTAGTCTCACACTACCAGCTTGCATCTAGGAAATGTTTGATTCATTCACACTTTCATTTACTTGTGTGTATATATATATATATATAAAATATATATACAGCTATATATATACACATATATATATGGACATATAATTTTAATGTTTTAAAATCTTATTTTAAAATATACATGCACATATTATTTAAAACAAAGTGGTAGAAAGATGCTACTTGGAGTGAGGAATCAATTCTGTGAACAGAGAGAAATCTCCAGGACTAACGCAGACCACACTCCCTGAAATGTAAATAAATATATCACCAGCCTGACATGAATCATGTAGCAGAACATCAGTAAAGATTACTTTTACATAGTAAAAGTGAATTATGCCAGAAGGTTTTTCTGCTACTTCTCTGGTTTCCTGGAGTTTTATTTCCCTTTGTATTTCTCATCTGTTCTCCTCTCTTTTATATCATGCATTTTGTCTGATCCTCCTTAGTTTTCAAAGCCCTTTTTCAAAACAGGTCATTCACAAGTTCCTTTCACACCATCTTCCCTCTGTCCACAGACCATCTTTTAACCAGAGCAACTGAGCGTCCTCTCTGTTGCAGTGTAGYTTGTTGTTTTGCTAGAATTCAAATGAGTTGATAGGTAATTTATGTTAGTACTGTTAGTTAGAAATAGTCCAATATAAACAGTCAAGAGACTTATAAAGSAAACAAAACTACACCTTGTGAAGGCCAATGAAATTAAAAGAACACAGCTGAAAAATTTGAGAGTTTTTTGAGCATGGTTTATGAATCATTACAAAAGAATTATTACGAAAGAAGTTATAAAGGAAAAAGCTCCAAAACATATCTAAAAATATATACATATATCTGTTAAAGCTCTAATTTATTTATAAGTGTCAACAAATGAAAAGCTACCAAGTAAATTAGTCATTGAATTATTTGCTCAGGTTCAGTGGAAGAACAGGTAGGAAAACTTGCTTGAACAAACAAGGTCCATATAAAAATAGCTTTAACRAGACAAAAGCTATTTGTACAATAGCCTTTAAAATGTGTTTGACAGTAGTGTCTGGTTACTTAGGCTACAATTGTATGCAGTGCCATGGCTGGCTGCATTTTGCAGAACTAGTCCCTGAAGTGCTCATGCTGGAATTACATTTTATAGCTCAAGTAGAACTTATTTGCTGTGTACACCCTGACTTAATGCGAAGATTGGCTCTGTATTCAGTGGCAAAGCACTTGCAGGTTTCACCTTCTGTATGTAATAAGATTGCTTGCTTTGTTCCTCTTGCACCAAGATAAAAACATATGAGTTTTGGGTATTGAAGTGTTTTCCTTGAGTAATTACGTGAAGACACTGCAGACAAGTTGCCCAATATGCTTTGTGCAGTAGGTATGGTTCAGCATTATTTTATTTTCAAAAAGAATTTTCATTAGTACCATTTTTAAGCGATGTTATCATCCTCAGGACRAGTGAGGATCTCATTTTATGGAATGCATAAATTATGCCAAATAATGGCAAATAACAGCATGCCTTTATACACTAATGTGTGTTAGCCTTCATCTCTGAATTTAGMAGATTTTTAGCAGTTTTATGCAATTTCTTGATAGTRTAGATAAATTTTGTAAATTATGGGTATCAGGATCCAAACCCATTTATGTGCATCACTTTTTTAAATGCAAGAGTACTTCCACTGAATTGGGAATGAGCAATATAGTCTTAGTGTGGCCTTAGTTCAGCTAAATGTTTGGGCTGAACAGAGGCACCTAATTTCACTCCAAGCTATGCATGTTTAGRAACTTTCCTGAGGGACATGTGCCTTTCAGAAATGGAGCCTTYAACTGAAGGACTTTTTTAGAATTTCGGTTCCATGTCTTGTACGATTAGCTCAGTAAAATGGGTCTGTATTGAAAAGAGAAAATGTGAAGTTTAACAACGGTGTAATTTAGCCTTTTTAATAGGAAATTTGGATTATACATAAGATAACTGTGGCTGACATACATGACTAAGTACAGAGCAGTCCTCTCATTCAAGACATTCAAAGCTTCTAAAGGACTTGTAGCATTTCTGTTTCTACTAGAGAAAATAACTATTTGAGTAAATGTTAAGAGAAAAATCAAGCRAATTACTAGAGGCAGAGAGCACAGCAACTATATGTTAAAAGCAATATATGGATTCATGATGTCTAGTTCCTAACGAGATCTACACTGAACGATGTGTATGAACTGACTCTGTTGACCTTATTTCTATGTTGAGGATCACCTTGCTGTTGTCGTGTACATAACTCATTTATCATAGTGATTTTCAACTGTTTATCATATCTGTTTTTTTAGCTTGTTTATCCTAGATTGTGCGTGCTGTGGCTGAGGTACCATTCCTTTCTGTGCTTTAGCACTGGTTCTAGCACACTTTGAATATCGTTGGAAGGAGAATTTGCATCAGCTTCCAGCTGTCATGATGTTTCTTAATGGTTTAGGCATACCACTGTTAACTTCTAACTAACTAACTTGAGGCATAACTTCTTCCTCAACCTTCCTCTGTTAAAGAGGAGGAAAGAGAGAGAAAAAAAAAAAAAGTAATCAGTCCTACTGCGGTTTAAATGCATTTTTTTCCAAAGAGAATTTGAAAGTCCCACAGGACAATGTTACAGTTGTGCATGAGAACTGAGATGGAAAAGTGGAACATTGTAAAAGGTATAAATTGGAGATAAATTTTTAAAGAAAGTGTCTTAATTTATTTGCATAAGAAAAGCTAGCATGGCAAGAGGAAGGACATCATAGCTCTCTCCAGTCATGACWTTTAAATTATTGAAGAAGAATCATCTTTACATGTGACCAAAACTTTGATGTAAAAGGGGTTTCATTATTCTTATGTGTACTTGAAGATAACAAAAAATGTAAGTGCCTTGTGTAATGATTGCTCAGAATAGTGTCATTTATGATACACAGTACAAATTAACCTAACTCACTGGCCAGTGTTACACTCATCTGGGACTAATCAGAGCTTATAATCCATTTTATCTGGTATTCTTGTGCTTTGGTTGCTAAGCAGCTAAAGTCGTTATGCAGATATTGCTATATGGCTGAAATCAGGTTAGCACAAGTTTGCATTGCTTTTTATTACTGATTAGTGTCAAATTAAAACTTCTAGGGTCCAATTCTGTTCATTATTATCCCTGCTTCAGTGGATTTGTACATGTGTGAGTCAAAAAGCTAAATTAGCCCTTGTATTTTTCAATGCTGAAATATTTTAATACAATTTCACCCATGTAATACACTTTCAACCTGTGAATGTAGCTGTGGTAAAAGGTGGAATAAAATGGTAGGCAAGCATACAGCAATGYTACCAGTATGTTTTGTTGCTCTTTTCATATACATTTATATAGTTAAGCTTCACTTCATTTTATTTAAATATATTCTATGTGCAAATGCACATAGTTTATATGCAGTTTTTTAAATTCTTAACTGGTTCCAACAGGCAATTCACATCATAAGAAATTAAACTGATATTCGTTTATGCTTCAGAATATCTCATCAGGCACTAGCAGTTAGGAGGAATGACATCTGGTGATGGCTCCTCTACTGCACAGTTGAGAAGCCATGGGCATGTGCTAAAACTGGGCAGAAGGAGGTTTCCCAACAGCTTGGGGACTACGTATGTTGAGTTATTTTGACTGCTACACAGTGTGAACGCTTTGACTGCTTATCAGTATCTTGTCTAGAAGTAGACACCGTGGTCAAAAGTAGTTGAGAGGGTGAGGCTGATGGGTCAATACTGTAACCATTGTGTCCCCCCACCACACAAGGCCCTGTTTCCA